AATTAAGCCTAATTCTGGCCGAGATTCGAAATAACGCCCCTGTGCGTTATTTCGCATACGGTACTACGGAAATTAAATAATACATGTAAAGACATCAAGACCAAATTTTAGGTAGTATAAAATTACACAACTGATAACAGATCAGAAATCAATTTCGTATATTTCATTATACAGTACACAAATTGTAATTAATTATTTTCATCATAAATAAAAATGAACACTTAGTTTTTATTTTTTCATAAAAAATGTTGCCAAAACGATAACACACAAATAAAAAAAAAATTAATTATTCCTCTTGTTACCATTTTCTAGGGGACATCTGTATTAATAAATTGAGCTCTATATAAAGTTATCAGTCAAAAAATTCCTCAATAAAAAGTTAAAGCAATTCGAAAAAAAATCTACAAAATTTTTAACTCAAGTTTTTTTTATAGAGCTCGGTTCAATGCATAAAGTTATCGAAGGTTTTTTCAAGTTTTTAGCAAAAATACTGCATTTCCGCGTAGTACGTTGGCAGCATGTGACTTGCTACGTATGTCCTCTAACTTAATGCAGCCCATAATAACATTATATTAAACACGAAATACAGAAACACGCGGACAGACAGACCAAATTACATTCCTGAAGTTATTTACATCAAATATATGCAGGTGTATCAAAAAAGTAATTTTTTTAAATCGAATTAGATATGAACAACGTAACTATTACGCGTAAGATTAATTAATAAACATTTGAAGATGGATATCTTCACAATTTCTCTAGGATTCTTTTATTCAATCAGCTATTGATATTATATTTAAAAATTTAAGCACAATTTCTATAAATCAGGATCAGTTAAACCGGGAACTGACATTTCAAAATTCATAAAGTAAGGCTTGAAAGGCTCCTTCAGCTTAACAATATTATGTTTTCACGAGAAAAAAGTACAATTCTTGAGGCAGTACAGCTTAACAAATACCAATTCGAATATATGATACCGAGATATGTTTAAATATATCGATTTGGAAGTTAATGCCAAGTGTACTGTACAAATATTATACGCGCATACACGTTTAGTATATGAAAGATTTGAACTGTGTAGTAAAATAAATATTATCTCAAATTCCTCGATCGAAAGAAAGCCATAATCACTATACAAAACTAGTAATCTCAATTATGACTATTGCCTCTGCTAATTAGATGATCACAAATCATAATTAATGACTAATAACAAATCACGTCTCAGAAAACATATACCACTTTCCAAAGTAGAAAGTTAGTATCTGGACCCTTCTATGTATTATTTTATTAAACAAAAGATCATATTGCAGCATTTACATCATGTGAAATATACAAGTGAAATCGAGGGAAAACCAGACTCCAGGCTTTTAAACTATTTACGGACTATTCAATTATACAGATTTTTCATCCGACAAGTCATATTTAAAAGCCCGGCATTATGAAGCTAGTTTTCTATTATTCCAAGGATTTCTTGTAGATCAAAATCTGGGAATCATAAGCTGCTTTTTCTTGAGCGTATAGATCTTCGAATGGCTTTGAAATAGGAAGTAATCTAATGAATAAATTATAACAAGTAGAAAGTAGATACTTTATAACATAAAGTTACCTTCTTGTCTTCAGGATTCATTGATCTCCATCTTTCAACTAATTCTTGTGTTTGTTCGATCATTGTCTTAGATTCATCAAAATTTTTATTTGCCGTAATAAAATGTAAGAATGGAGTTTTCGGTCGCTTTGGTTTTCTAGAATCCTTCAAAAGCTTTACATGTTTACCCTTCAATTTTGCCAACTTGCGATATTCATTTACTCTAGCAATTTCTTTTGAAGTTAAAGATTCTTTCCAAGCTTTAAAATCATCTTCAAATTTAGATTTAGCTTTTCTATATTTTTCTGAATAAGTCTATAATTGAATTACATAAGATAACGAATAAATCAAACGGAAGAGTACATAATGTAAATGGAAATATATACTTCTTTCTCATCATGAGGTAAAGATCTCCATCTTTCACCAGCTATTTTACCAATCTCGGTAACTTTTAACGTAGGATTATCGGGCTTGAATTGATTATAAAAATCAGCGAACCAAATAGTATACGGGGTACCTGGATTTTTAGGACCTTCGGGAACTTTTGAAAGTTATACATGAGTTAACTAAAACGCCAAATGAAACGAAATGAAAAAGCACATTTATAGAAAGCTTAAAATAATATACTTGGCCCCTCGTCTTTGAGCTTAACAGCCTTAGTTTTGGTTCGGGTTTTAGCAGTAGATTTTTTAGTTCCAGTACTTTTTTGCTTAGTTGTTCGTGGTTTAGTAGTTGTAGACTTAGGAGCTTTGGTTCTTGTAGAATTTTTTGCAGTAGCATATTGTCGTAAGAAAACAGCACTAATGACGTGACCAAAATTTAACGTTCCTAATAAGCGCGTATAGTTGTTAGGCGAAACTATTTTTACGTAAAGACTAAAGACGAAACCTAAAACCAGCCAAAGACGGTAAACGTAAGCCCTGGCGAATTGACGTAAGAGATATAATTGGTAGGCGAACAAATTTTTCCATGTTTTCGGAATAAAAGACAAGTAAACTTAAAGTAAACACATCAATTCAAGATACACGAAATTTACACCTAGTACCCTGACCATGCAAAGATCAAGTGTAACGTAAAATTCACACCAATAAACTTTAATTTTTTACGAAATTAGAACTACTGAACTCTATTACATTTTAACAAAAAAATCACTTCCCCACAAAATTTTGGTATGTAATAACTTCTTTTTTCCCTTAACTCTGACCCTAATAATAATTTCGGGTTAACTTTTTCTACTTTGATTACAATTGCCAGGACATTGCCAGGGTATAGTCGTTATTTACCGCAGATCACATGATAGTCAATCAATCATATTATCGATAAATAAAAAATCAAAACGGTAAAGATTTTCTTGTTATAAGTTACGGTGAACTCTGAAATACATTTTTCGAATTATAACTTTAAAATGGTTCACATTAGGTTCACATTATCTAAGAAATAGTTTAATAGGAGATTAAGATTTCATTCTAAAATCACCAAAGTAGTTTACCGCAAGAATTTTTTTTTATTGTATCAAGATCGAGAAATAAAAACAAGAATCTTTATGAATCCCGAAGCAATGATTTAAAAGTGTTGTGAAAGATACTGTAAATAATATCTAAATTACACGAATGAGTAGTACTCTATAAAATGATTTAATCGATATTAGAAAGTATATTTTACAACTTAGCATGCGCTTACAAACTAAGTTGAACAGATAAATAATGTTGTAAAAGACGAATCTGAGTCACGAACTTATAAAGATCTCTTAAAAATGACACAAATAAATGAAATTCAGGAGAGCAAAGATAAAAAAAATTTAATAGATCTTCATCACTATTTACCGACAAAATAGTTTTCCTTTCTATGCAATTCGTCCTTTTCATCATGAGTTTTGCCAAGTTGAAACATTTATCGCAATTTCGGATATTTCACTTCACAAGAGTACAACTTTCCGAAAAATTAATACATACAGACCGGTTCTATTCAAATAGCGATATGGCAAAATGATGTAACTATCATCACATACTGATAAGCTATCTAAATCTATCTTACTTCATAAAAGCCGCAAGGTTCAAAAGGATTCGATTGACATCATTGTACAGTACAAAACAAAATTTTGGGTTTTACACATAAGTATACATGGGTATCTAAATTACTCCTCTTAATAAAAAATTATTTCGACATCTAGTCTGTTGAAATTATTTTTTCTTAATGGCGAAATTAAATTTCATAGTTGTCGAAATTTTTAGTGAAGTTATTATGTCAAAATACGTTAGGTTACTTTGTGGAATTCATATAAAAAAACTAGCAATGTCGAAATGTTTGTCGAAATTGCTTTTTTTAAAAAATAATTTAGACACCCATGTATACACATAAGATGAAAGATGAAACTAATCTCGTATGCTTTTAAGTCTATTAAAGCTGATTAATTATCTCTTATTCTGTTTGGTATTTTTGTTTCTTTAATACGAATAATCACTCAGAGTTTCTAATCAAAAGACTTTTCTAAATCTATATTTTCATATGTTTAAAAAGTACTCACGGTATTTTTCACGGCTAAACGCTTTAAAATTTTATAAGCTTTAGACAAAGAATAAATAGATGCACGATAAATTCGGTATATTTATTACCTTCTAACCCATTTTTTGACTTGTTAATGATTAAACACGAACAACTTAATATTAAAGAATCAATTTAATCAATAAAATTAAAAACTCAAAAAAATATGTGTGATGAGATCTATTAGGCCATAGAAAGTTAGCTCTCTTAACATAAAATTTAAAAATGACCCGACAACCCGGCTTTTAATTTTATTTTCAAAAAATTTATATATATAAAATTTTCTTAGACTTCTAAATATGGTCAAAAAAATTATTTCAAAATTTTGCAGAATTTGACCCGGCCGGGTTATGAGAACCAATTCATTAAGTTTGTATGGCCTTAACCTACTTACGTTATTTAAGTAATACTAAATCAAACCAACACCATATATATATGGTAATGCTATTAAAATTTAGGAGAAATTATGTAAGTTGGAGGTTATGATTTAGGTTAAGAAATAGTTTGGCATTCTTTATTTAAAGCATAAAATAGATAATTTGAAGATATAGCAACCAACTATGGTGTTAAATATTACTGGTATAATCTAATAATTTTTATTTAATCTACTTTTTTTTTATTTTTTTTATCAAGATACACAATTCATGTAAAGGAAAAATTTTTTAATTTAACCAATCAGATTGCGTATCACATGATTGCCTTATTCCCACGTGATTAAGTTTTATTGGATATCTATAGCTGTTACACACAAATCATAAATTTCAATATAAACAGACACGTAAAAATCGCGATTTAATTTACACTTTCACTCTAACGAAAATATTCCGTATCACGACATCGGCGGGTACACTAGATAAAAATAATATATAATACCATGCAACTTGAACAACAATTTGATCAAAGAGAATGGTTAGAATTAGATAAAAAATTATTTATGTTTATAACTGTTAGATAAATATCAATGCTTTCGCCATTCAATTTTCAATAAATTCATAGGAGTACAAGTGAGTTGCAAGAATATCTGCTTTATTTCGAACAAAGAGAGAAAGACATTAGGACATATGAAGATTATATTAGTTACTCTCCTAGATATTACGGTTAGAAATTGCATTATTCGTTTCGTTTAGACTCGTTTAAATTTAATTTTTTTTTTTTATAATTTAATTAATTATTATATTTCTTATTAATAGATGATTTATTTGAATATAGGTAATAATTAACTTAATTCACGCTCTATATTACAAATTATTAACTTTCTTATCTATTTATTTTCATAAGACATGTTACTCTTCCAAAGCAACTTGTTCCATATGTTCCTCTCGATCGACTTATGCCGGAAGAGGAATGGCGAAGTCTTGGTGTGAAACAATCTCCTGGGTGGGAACACTACATGATTCATGGTATTATCTAGCTTCGTTTTTATATTCCGTAATTAATTATTATTAGGTTATAAAATTCTCTTATAACCTATTTTTTATTACTTTTCTTAAATATATTAGCTCCCGAACCTCACATCTTACTTTTTAAACGGGAAAGAGATTATCAACTCAAGTATGGTATACCACAACCAGAGGAGGAATTAGTTGAGCAGGATGGAAATGTGCAGTATGATCAGAATGCCCAGTATCAACAGAATGTGCAATATCAACATCAGAATGTGCAATATCAACATCCTCAAAATGTGCAGTATCATCATCAGAATGTGCAATATCAACAGAATATGCAGTATCAACAGAATGTGCCATATGATCCAAATGCGCAGTATGTTCAGTAATTAGAAATAAAGTATATTAATAGAAGTTCTATATATAAATAAAATTCTATTTTGAAATAAATAATTTTAAAGTTATCGTTACGTAACGATAATTTATCGCAGAAAACGTTGTGCCATCACGTGAATTAAATAATATGTTTGTGTAACATAAAATCACATTTTAGAAAAAACCCCTCGTGAAATTAATTTTAGTATACGTATAATATGCTCTTCGATGTCCTTTTTTGATTTTTACGTTGCCGTTACGTCCAGATTCGAATTTAGATTACATGGAATTACGCAATTTTCTATTATAGAAAGTTATGAAAAAAAAATTTTTTTTACACGTGTTCGTGTATCCAATTGAAATTGGAAATGGTAAACGCAGATTTTTATTATTATTTAAATATAGTAAAATACAGTGCTTTATTTTTACAAAGGCAATTTTTATTTACTTTTTTAGTTAGCATGCTTATGAGTAGATATTATATATAAAATTATTTTTTTTAATCTTTATTATATAGTATTATATTAAATTATTTATAAGCAAAAAATATATAATTTTAAAAAAATTTTTAATTAAATAAACTTTTTAAAAATATTATATTCATAACACCGGTGTTATATAAATCCTATATAGTCTGAGTTGGAGTTAGAGCAGTTCTTATTTTTACTTAGAGTACCCGATCCCGTTTACCGTATTTGCCCGTAATAACGCGCAGGGTGTAGTTTTGAATTTCGGCCTGAATTAAGTTTAACTCGAGCCGTGACTCAAAATAACGCCCATGCGCGTTATTACGGGCAAATACGGTACTTAGTACGTCTTTGAATAACTTTTTACTTTTTAAATATTGATATTAAATTTAGAATTTTTAATACAATATATATTGTATTATCTTTTTAAAAAATATATATATCATGTTGATTTTGTAATTATTATAAAATAAATTTCTATATTGTGTTATATATGTTCAATTAGTTAAAATAGAATAGTTGTAATTTTAATTGTATTAGTATAACTAAAGCCTTGAATATTTATATAATACTGTACTATATTATATAAAATATAAAAAATACAAGCTAATTAAAAGTATCAAAATAACATAAATTTTAAATAAGTTGACTAAACATGTAAATTTAAAAATTAGAAGAAAATTATTCAAAACTTTAAATAAAAGATTATAGTAAATATCAAATTATAATAAATATTTTGGCTAAATTTATGTTTTTTTTTAAAAAACAACTAGTCTAAAATTACTTTAAAGTTAAAATTAATTTTTTTTTAGAGTTAGAAATAAGAGTTTTTTTATTTTATATAAGATACTCTAAATACAATTTATATATAATATTCATTATAATTTAATATTCACATAATTAATCTATCTAGTAAAACAAAGAACAAATTTGCAATTAGTTAAACTAGTAAATAAATGTATATTAGAATCCAAGTATAGTTAATTTAAAATATCTTAAAGTATAATATATTAAATAGGTGTAAAATTAGATTAAAAAGATTAAAATAAAATTTTTAAATATAAATTAAAGTATAAATATAATAAAAAAAATAAAATTAAAAAAATAAATAAAAAATATAAAAATTACTATATAATTAGCCAAATATGCGTTTAGATAAATATTGTATTTAAAGAAATAAAAATTTATAGATATAATATTAGTTGGGTTTAAAAAAAAACATGTATTTTAAAAAAGACTTTTATAAGATATATATTTAAAGAAGTTGAGTTTAACTATAGTATATATTAAAATTGTTAAGCTAATAAAAGATAAGTTAAAAGTAAATTAAAAATAATTTTAATTATTAAATAGCTAATTATTTAAATTAAAAAAGTATAATAAGAGTATATATATATTAGTAAAAAGAAAAATTAAAAAAATTGTAATAGAAGCAATAAAGTAATAAAAATAAATTAAATATAAAATAAAAATATATACAGTATAAGTAGATAAATAGTTAAGTAATTATCAAAAAAAATGTTAATATTTTAAATTAATAAAGTTATAAAAGCTTTTTTAATTATTATTATAATAGAGTTAATAAAATTTTAGTTAATATAGTTAAAAAAGTGTAGCTAGTTTTAATTATATGGTTGTAAAACTATATTGCAATAAAAGATTAAATATTTATTAAATATAACTAATAATTTTTTAAAATTTATCTACAATATAAATTTATTTGAATAATACTAATTCTACTCAAACTTTAAATTTTGTATTTTTATCTATATTTTATCAAATTTATACCCTTTTATATTTTATACCAAACTTAGTATTTTTAAAAATTCTCTAAAAAAAATAATTTAAATAATATATATACATTTACAGTATATAATAATTACCACAATTAGTAATTTAGTGTAATTTATTTTATTGCAACCTATAATAGTTTGTTTTACGTATACGTAAATGCTAAAGTATAACAACACTTATTATAATATCTAACAGTTCTTGCAAATACAGAGATTTTTTTAGTTTAAGAATATTGTAAAACATTTAAGCAATTATAATCACAGCTTTTAAGATACAGTATTTGTAATAAAAATATCATGAGCCGTTGGATATTAGCGGAAACGAAGTTTCCGCTTGTACACATACGGATCAGGGCATTTTTCCGTGATCTTGATATAGTGATTGGGGTATTTATATGATAAAACATAATTAACAATCGTAACTCTTTTAAAAGTCAAATTTATTAAGCTATTCAATATTTATGCTTTAAGTGAAGCTTCAAAATTACAAATTGCATATACTCCAAAGTTTCGTGTAATTTGAATAACTTTTTGTCATGAATTTTTTTATTTAAATGTGAAATGCAGAAGTGAATTAATAGAGTTATTCAAATTACATGAAACATTATAGTATATGCAATCTGTTATTCCGAACAATTTTACTTAAGACATACTGTAAATAACGACTTGCTTAGTAAAAACTTTAACTTATACTATGTATGGAGCTATGATTATCTACTAAAAAACTAATAACTTTTTTTAGTTATCAAACCAATAAAATTATTTTATGCGTAAATGACCATTTAAACTTTGATACCATCACTGGTTCAGATGCTTGGTGTGACTAAAACTTCTTCCGGTAAAACATTTCAAAATAATTTCACCGAGGCACTAATTCTGGTAATAATAGAACTCAGGAAATATAAAGAGGTACTGTGAAAAATAGTGTAATCAAGTTTTATAGGCACAGTACACGTTGGTTGAGTTTAGAGTTTGATGATTTTGTTACTGATATACCAACAGCCTTGTCAGCATTAACATCGGTCCTGCTTTCGTACCTTCTCCGGTTCGCCCTGGTGTTTATCCTTCCGAAAATCATTATAACCTCAGCTATGGACAAAAATGTGAGAGATATACCTGGCAATAAAGGAAAGGATCAGCCAGACCATCGTTTACGTAAATAATAATAATAATAATAAATTTTGAACCACACTTGACTTTCAAATATAATCTTTACGCTATAACATAAAATGTCTTAATATACATTATGGGTGTTCTCAAACGTCTCTCTCAATGAGTTACCTGACGATCCGATTTGCTAAAAAATTGATCTCATCATTTAAATCGAAAGAACCAACAATTCTTTCCAGAGTTGGTTGCGGAAAATCGATATAGGATCACTTCAGTTAATTGTGATTTAGCATCACTAGTAAATTACATTGTTGAAATCAATCAAATTGTGTAAACTTTATAATATTTTATTATATTAAAAATCCGAGTTTAACAATAATAATTAAACAATAATAATATTATACAATTATGCAAAATAAGCACTTAATGTGAAATTTCAAGATTACGTTGTCATATGCGAAAATTATTTTATTCATAATTAATATAAGGCCTACATTTTCGCATTAGTCTAAGATACTTATTCAAATTGAAGTATAATAGAAGAAATAATGGCTACACAGCAACCAATATTATTACACCAATATAGGAAAGATTATGCAGGATTCTCTTTGGCTTGTTGTCGGATTCTTTTATCGTATGCCACACGGTCCTTTCTGCAAACGTTTTTTTTTTTTTTTAGCGTATTAAGATTGGAATAAAAGATAAATGATACTATGAATGAATGAATGAAAACATACTTGAACAGCATGTATGCATCAGATTGAGCGGGGCTGTCAGGATTCGGCTCATCAAGAAGATTCTGAACGCCCAATAAAATCTAAATAAATAATAGATACACATTAATAAAGGTAGATGATAATCTATTATGTTTGTAATTCCGTTTACCTGTTTAATGGTAATTGCGGGTTTCCATCCTTCTTCCTCATTTAAGATTGACAAACAAACAGTTCCGGAAGGATACACGTTTGGATGGAAGAGAGCAGGTACAAATTTACCTAAAAAATTAAACAATGGAAATATAAATGTTGTGAAGCTTTTATACACTTAAAAATAACATTGACTTTCACCCATAAGGAGCCATTTAACTGCGTCGCGGAAATGATCATCTAGATCTCTTATATAGTTATCCATTATTTTTGGAAGACAGGCTTACATTTCGGTGGTTTGGATGGATAATCTGTTATTATTTAAACACATTATGGGAATTTATTAATCAAATACAATAAGACTTTATTATTTTAATGGAAAAGACTTATTATACCTTCTGGAAACGTCATCGTCATCTTAAACACGCCGTTTTCCCATGGTGTCTGTAACAATAATCGAAAATTTCACACTTCAATATAATATAACTTCTCTTAACTCCAATACTCGAGAGTAAGAATAGTTTGAAGGAATTAAGAAATGGCACCAATGATTTACCCCCTTTTTTCCTGGAATGCCCACTTGCCAATTCAATAAATCTAAACCGTTTTCAGTTTTTACGGGACGTGCATAAAATCCCTACGAAGAAGAAAATAATAAAAGTTGATAAGTAAGACACATAAGAGTAGTCGCAGTTGCACGGTAAAGACTTGGAAAGTATAGATCTGTTGTCTTACGTATGGATGATCTTTTCTCCATTGTCGACGTTCTTCGGTGAGGCGGGCTTTACAAATTCCGGACATTTTGTATAGTATAGTCTTTGCACGTATATGGATAGCGGAAGAGCAATAGGATAATAATCCACAGAAATCGTTGGAGTTGTCTACAAGTTATGAAGTATATGAAGTAAGAGCTTCGTACGAACGTACGACCTGTTTGTTTTTTCTAAATCATGCTATCACTGTTTATACTATTTTAATGTATTATACTTTTTTTACACGTGGTATGTGAATTCTGAAATGCCTATTATGATTGGTTTATTAGTTTGATCTACGGCTATCTCGCTATTGAGACTACGTACAAAAGAAAAATATGTCCGTACATTTATATGCAAATATATATACTTACTAAATTTACAACCCGTGCTTTTTTCATCCCTATTGGCACGGGGTGTCAATAAGCATACTGTAAATGCAGAAATGTATACAAGGTTATGCTCCGGATGATCATATGATGGCCCCGGCGACTAACAAATCCTGATTTCGTTAATTAACAATAGCGATAGCGATAGTTACCTATATTATAAAGTCAAATTTGCTCCTGCATTGCACCTTTAATTACTTTCGTTTTGTATCTTTATTTACGCACGACATTAACGAAAAGAAAGAAATTATATTTAACTGATTTACTGATTCGACTTCAACAAGTTCTTTAACAAACACATATCGAACTTTGCCTAATAATCACACAACAATGATGAATCTATACGATACATCACATCTTAAATTTATCAATCAAAGAAAACAAGCTATTTTCTAAGAAATATGTCACTGTGTTCATATTCTTGAGTTAGATTTCATAATCTATGGTTAAGCCGTATCAATGTTCTGCGTCGGTCACGAACAGAATCTGGTTTACCGTCTCCGGCATGACCATTTCCCCAACAATCACGTCATGTTGGGAAATGGCCATGTCGGGGAAATGGTTATGGCGAGGAAATATTTGTCGTGCATGACCGGAGTCATTCTTTAATTTTCAGATATTTGAAGGATAACTTAATTTGATTTTTAATATAATTATCGAACTTGTTATCATTATAATTAAATCCACTAAAAGACAGTTAATATTATATTTTCGTTTACAAAGAAAAAAAATAAAGTTACTACAGTAGAATCATATCATCTTTATATTCTTAGACAAAAAATTTCAAACACGTTTTATCGTTTAAGTTCACAAAAAAAAGAGCTAGTTTATCTGTTAAAAAAAGGATGTTCTATAGAATAGGTGGGCAATATAAAAATAAACTCCGCTAATTAGTAATCATTAATAGATATTTAGCGGAGTTACGGAGTTTGCGGAGTTTGCCCACCTATTCTATTAAATTTATTAAATAACTAGCTAGTACCCACGGGAACTTATTGATTTGTATATGAGTGTCGCCAAAAGAAAACCCAATATAGACTATAACGGGTTTTCTTTTGGCGACACTCATATATAAGTTAATGTAAATCTAAATATAAATTTTACATATGAGTCAAAGGAAAAGGAAAACCTGTCATCGGACTTTAAATTATATTTTGTGTGCCGTCTATGGAAAATCTATCATTATGATAGATTTCCCATAGACGACTAACTGTACACAAAACATAATTTAAAGTCCGATGACAGGTTTTCCTTTGACGGCACTCATACGTAGACTAAAGCCCGATCCGTACAAGTTAGCTTCTTAGCGGGTCACGGATCAAAAATTCGGGTCATGAATATGGATAACATGATAAAATTCATAGATAAAATATAGTGATCCAAATTTTAAAAAGGTTGAGAAGTTTTGAATATGAGAAGTTTTGGTTATAGAATTTGAAAAGCTTCAGTTTAAATGTTTTTATATAGTAATATAACAGGTGCAACATTAAATTATCAAATTCTATAAACTCTACTCTTAAACCCTTGGGATAACTATTGACCCGGATAATACTCTAAATAAGAGTCATCACATTAAAATGACTAATAAAACTAACAAAAATTTAAACAAAACTCAAAACTAAATACAAACAACAACTATTATTATATAATAAATACAGTTTAATAGTCTAAAAATAATAAGTTTATTAAACCAATAATTATATAAATATTTATTATAAAACGCATTTATAGTCTATTATATATTTTTTAAAATTTCTGTTTCTTATAAAATTTTTATCTATTTGAATTAGTATATAATACTAAAATTAAGATTTAGTTTTTAAAAATATATAATATTTTTATTTATCAATTAATTAGTTTTTAACAACTTAAACAAAACTCTTTCTAATGATAACTTGCATCAAAATTTTTAAAAAAACTAACTTGTAAAATATGTATTTATAAACAAGACTATATTTATAAAAGAGTTATAAGGAACTATAAGACAGCACTTATTATTTAGAGATAGTTTTTATATACAGTTGGCACTGTCTAAATGCATACTATCTGTAGAAAACCTTTTGATGCATTTAGACAGTATGGGAAGTGTCATTTATCACCTAATTTTTTTTGGAGGGGGGTCTCTACCAAAATATCATGTACGTATATACACATATCTTCGGAATTTCAATTCATTTATCATGTAGGGGGGGTAATATTTACTATTTAAAAAAATCAGGTGATAAATGATACTTCCCTATATGCATTTATACAAAATCTTGTAATTGACATCATTTGTATAATATAAATAACAACCAATAGGAATCTCAGAAATTGCTATAAACAATACTATAAATATAAAATTTTTACCTTATAAATTTCAAACTTTTGCTTATAATTAATAATTTTCTTTTAAATATTAGAAGATTTGAAATTTACTAATTTTGAAAACAAGTAAGTTTAAAAATTATTTATAAGCTAAAGTTCAGAATTAAAAAATTAAATAGGTTTAGCTAGTGATAAAGTTAGCTTCTTTTGATAAATATATATATTTATATATTAAGTGTAATTTAAAGTCATAAAGTAAATTATTTAATATTATACTAGCATTTTTGATTGATTAATTATAATTCTTTAAATACATATTGTTTTTTTTATGCATTATGCAATTAAAGAAATTATGCATTTATTAATAAAAACCAAGTTGGTAAACAAAAATTGTATACAGTTTTAACAGTATATGCATTTAAACAGTATGCATTTAGATAGTGCTAACTATACTATTTGCTAATAAGCTTAGAGTTTATTACTTATTGCAAGAATAGTATTTGTTATTTAAAAGTATTGTTTAATACAAAAAGATAGATATATAATAGCAAAAAATTTATATTGGCTTTTACTATATATTTTAAGCTATTTTTTACAAATAATGTAAGTTTTGAGCTATCTTTTAATATATTTTAATTTAATTTAATAATATTTATTTACTAGACTGCAAATATATATTTTTTTTTTTTAAGTGATCCTGCCTTTATTTATGTAAACTGTTATATAATTTTTACACCCATGTGTACAAAATTCTTACAACTTATTGCTCTAACGTAATAAAGACTC